ACTGAGAAATCAGCTGAAGGTCTTAGTGATTCTCTCAAAAATTATACATCTTTTCTCCTCTGCTACTATAAAATTTTCCTTTTTATCTTCACATCTCAGCATATATTTATACAGGTATATAGTTTTCTGTGTATGTATCTTGCCCAGGGATCAATCTGTAGTTTGGTATCTTTCATTAGTTTTGAAAAAAGTTCTCCTGTCATCTATCAAATACTTATGCCCTATTCACTCTCTCCTTTTCTTCTGGAATTCTACTTGAAAATATGTTAATTTTTCACCTTACTCCATATTTCTCTTAAGATTCTTTTCTGGCTGGGTGCAGTAGCCCATACCCATAATTTTAGCACATTGAGAAGCTGAGGTGGGAAGATCACTTGAGGTCAGGAGATTGAGACCAGTGTGAGCAAGTGCTAGACCCCATCTCTACCAAAAATAGAAAATAATTAGCCAGGTGCAGTGGCATGCACCTGTTGTCCCAGCTACTCCAGAGGCTGAGGAAGGAAGATTACTTGAGTTCAGGGATTCAAGGTTGCTGTGAGCTATGATACCACTGCAGCATTCTGCCCAGGGCAACAGAGTAAGACTCATATCAAAAAAAAAAAAAAAAAAAAAGAGAGAGAGAGAGAGAGAGAGAAAGACTTCTTTTTGTATTTTCTAAGAGTTTGTCTCTCTGGTTCAGTGCCTGTAGCACAGTGGTTACGGCACCAGCCACATATACCAAGGGTGGCAGGTTCGAACCCAACCTGGGCCAGCTAAACAATGACAACTGTATCAAAAAATAGCTGGGTATTGTGGAGGGGGCCTGTAGTCCCAGTCACTTGGGAAGCTGAGGCAAGAGAATCACTTAAGCCCAAGAGTTTGAGGTTGCTGTGAGCTATGATGCCACAGGACTCTACTAGGGGCAAATAGTGAGATTCTGTCTCAAAAAAAAAAAAGTGTGTCTCTCTGTGCTTCAGTTTGAATATTTACTCTCCCTTTCAGTTCTGATCTCTCTTCGAGTTCATGAATTCATCTTCAGATTGTCTACTCCGAGGTAAACCTGCCATTTTAAAATTAAAATTTCTAATTCCTTGCCAAGATTATCAATCCTGTCAATTAATTACTGGAACATATTAATAATGATTATTCCAAAGTCTGATAACTCTAATATCTGGATTTTTTATAAACCTGTTTCTAATTCACTTGTTGGTTTACAGACATGTTTTGTTTTATATGCATGGTTATTTTTGATAGAAAAGCAGACATTGGCTCAGCACCTATGGCTCAAGTGGCTAAGGCGCCAGCCACATACACCTAAGGTGGCAGGTTCAAATCCAGCCTAGGCCCACCAAACAACAATGATGGCTGCAACCAAAAAATAGCCAGGCGTTGTGGCGGGCGCCTGTGGTCCCAGCTACTTGGGAGGTGGAAGCAGGAGACTCGCTTGAGCCCAGGAGTTGGAGGTTGCTGTGAGCTGTGATGCCACAGCACCCTACCCAGGGCAACAGCTTGAGGCTCTGTCTCAAAAAAAAAAAAAAAAGAAGAAAGAAAAGCAGACATTGCATATGAAAAATTCTAGAGATAATTTGAGGCTCTAGATGATGTTGTCTTCATCTAAAAAGGGTTCATTTTTGTTTCTGAAGTTAGGTTACTGCATTTAGGGGTAGAGCAGTAAGGAAGACTGGAATACCTTTTATCTGCCGCTCCTTTCTCTGAGCCATTCGCACTTGCGCAGGTGTGCGTGTGGTAACTGTGGCCGCAGGCATCCTTTGCGCACGTGTGAATGGCTAAGGGAAAGGAGTTCATGTATCACTAGCACCAGCCCCACCAACAAGGTCGGCTCCCCCTGTCAGGTTCCAGAAGAAGATGACTTAACTGTATTTGAATAAATGTAGATTGTTGTATTATACTTAATAAAAATAAGGTATCCCCTGAAAATAAGCCCTAGTGTGTCTTCTGGAGAAAAAATAAATGTAAGACAGTGTCTTATTTTCGGGGAAACAGGGTAGTAGCATTAGCAATCTCAGATCATCTTAATCAAATCAGGGTTAAAGATAATTTGAATCTAAGCTTCAATTCCTGTAGTGGTTGGTATGTTTCCAGTTTACCTTGCTTCTAGGATTTGGGCTTTTGTAGCTCCAATTCAAAATCTGGGATGTTACCAATATCCATTTCACTCATAGGAGCTTCTGACTTTACCTTTTGCCTCTATATATTCATGGACCTATGAAAGTACTGCTTAGCCTCTCAGATACTCCTCTCAGAACCTACAGACATCTCTAAGGGTTAAGCAACCAGGTAGCATCTCTGGGATTCCTTCTCTCCATGGTCTTAGGGCTCCATGGTTCCTCATCCTCAATGTCTTCATAGCTTTCAAGTTCTTCAGAGTTTTGTTTTGGCTCAGCTTTTCTGCCTGTTCTCAGCATAGTGATGTGTTCAAAATAACCCATCTACCATTATGGAACACTAAATTCTCCTTTATCATCCATTTTGTCCCAAGCTTCCCAGTATATCAAGTCTAAACTACTCTACATGACTTTCAGTGCCCTCTCTAGCCTTGCCAACCCCCATTTATCCAAAGGAAAACACAGGCTTTGAGGGTGGAGAGTGGTTATGTTCAAACTATGGCTTTACTCTACTTATAGCTATGTGACATTCAATAAGGTATAAAGCTTTTTCTTTTCTTTTTTTTTTTGAGTCTCACTACGTCACCCTTGGTAGAGTGCTGTGATGTCACAGCTCATAGCAACCCCAAACTCCTGGGCTTAAGTGATTCTCTTGCCTCAGTCTCCCAAGAAGCTGGGACTACAGGTGCCCACCACAATGCCCAGCTATTTTTTTGTTGCAGTTGTTTAGCTGGCCTGGGCTGGGTTTGAACCCGCCCCTCTCTGTGTATGTGTCTGGTGCCATAACCACTGTGCTACGGGTGCAGAGCCAGAGCTTTTTCATAACTCACTTATAAAATAAGGCTAATAAAACTTCAGTGATAAGATCAAATAATATGGGTATTTAGCATAAGCGCATAGTAATAGCAGTTAGCATTTATTAAGCATTATTATTACTGCAGTTCTACTAAAAAAATGAATCAACCTACCCACAAATCCAAGATTTCTTCACTCTTTGTTTCAATATGTGTACATATTTTCACCTTCACCTTCACAGCTTGTTCACATTATGCCTTTTCTTCAATTCTCCCTTTTCCCAATGCAACCTAACATAGGCCTCCCAGCCCAAATGAAGTTCATCCTCTACTATGAAAGATATGCCCCAAATCCAAAATCCATACTCACATGTATTTGCTCTAATTCCTACTCAATTTAGCAACACACAATTTAACATATTTCCTAATGTTGTTTTATTGAATATTCCCTAATCTAATTTTCTCTTTCCTAAAACAAGATATTATAGTTTGTAATCTCTATAATACCTCGGGTAACATCAAACACAGAGTTTCACAAAATATATATGAGGCTCAGCATAGGAAAAGTTCTTCATAGGTACATTTGAATTAATACAGCAAAACACATAGAATGAGGGAGAGGTGCAGAGGGAACAAGTGAGGAAACAGAAATAAGCAAGCACATAACAGAAAGATTTTCTGGTAAAACATTTACTTAAATCCTTCACTGTAAGCATAAATTCAGCTAACCTAGTTGCATTATTTTAAAATGACAATTGAAAGCCCAAAGTTCTATTTTTACAATTCAATGCTTAGAATTTAATAGGAACTTTCCGGTTCCCTAGAGTAGGCCCTTCTTTTTGCTAGGGGAAAAAAAAAAAAGCAAAACCCTAACTAGTTCAAGAATTTAGGCAACATTGACCTATCAAAGAATACTCTCCTAAGTGCTAATCATTAACACTGTAATAATCTGCCTTACTTACATTGAAAATGAACTGCTCATGGAAATGAAAAAGATTTAAAAGATGTCTATAGCAAGATCTTTGGCTGCAGTTCTTTCAGAGTTTTGGAGAATTTAATTTTGTATCACAAATACAGAACACATATTCAATGCTTTCTTATAATACAATAACAGTAAATACCTTAATTTTTATAAAGATTATTCCTAAAGAATTCATGCTGCTCTTAACAATGTACCTTTTCCATATCGTTTCTGCTTTATGATTGCTTTCTTCCAATCAACAGTAATTATACTACTAAGGTAACTGGAAAGGAAAAATAGCTCACTCTCTAAATTAGCTCATCTCTGACAATTTCTGGCTCCATTCTCAACTCCATCCCACAAATTTAATATTTTATTAATAAAAAGTTGTGTTTTGCTATTTGACAGAATGAATTCTTTACTGATTATAGATTTAGAAGAACAGTTTCTTTTTAGGAAGTGGCAGTTTCAGCTTGACAATTGTCACGTGCTAAGAATGATGCTAAAATATACCCAGGGTCATTTACATCTAATAAGCTGTGATACCTAACAGTGGTATATTTGAGATGTTGAGTTTTGTAAGCCCTGATGAAATAGCCAAATTTGTAATAAAAGCAGTTAAAATTACGATTTTTTTTTTTTTACAGTTTTTGGCCAGGGCTGGGTTTGAACCCACCACCTCTGGCATATGGGGCCGTGCCTTTGAGCCACAGGCGCCACCCATGATATTTTATTTTTATAAACTCAGAAGATTAATTCAAATTCCTAGAAGGAAAGAACATGTACACAAGTCCTTTATAGATAACTGAATATCTGTAATTTTAATTTCTGAGGGTAAGAGGTGAGATCGCTTTTAGATGTCAGAAACAGTAGGGATTATAAAATAATTCTGGCAGTATTCACCCTTTTGTGTAAGATGACAAATCAGAAAGAGGAGAACACGGAAGAGAGTTAGTTCGATATGTGAATATATCTGATCTGAAAATGGTAAATATATAACAGCTAATTTCTTAGCCTCCGCCCATCCCATTGGATTATAGGAAACATGTCTGCATGCTTTTTTTAGCAAGATATTTCAATATGACCATATTTGCAAGCAGAGAAAGGCCCTGCATTTGATATCCATACACGGCAGCTTACCCACAGCATTGTAGAGAGGCTCTCCAGTTAACTTGTCCCACACCACGGTGGTTTCTCTCTGGTTGCTGACACCAATAGCTTTAAAGAGAAAGTTAAAAAAAAGGAAGCAGAAAAAATAAACAAATAGAAAAGTACTTCAGGAGAATAGCTCTCATCTTATAGACACAACTAAACATAACAATTCAAAAAAACATTTGAAACATTTGTAGTGATATTTAGTTTATTTTCTGTGGGTAGCTCTGGGAAAAGTGAACACCCAATGCCAAGTGTTTCTTTAATTTTCTACACACTCCTTTCCCAGCACACAAAGATTCAGATCCAGAACAATACCCAAATAAAAGGCTCCAAGGTTGCTTCAAGGAATGCAATAACTGGCCAAATAATAATATCCAATTTATCGTTCTGAGCAGACCAACAATCACCCCAGTGATTTCTTTACCATTTGGTACAAGAAACTCCCTCCCCATATGTATATGTGCAGGTGCATGCCTGCATTGTTAAGAAAATAGCCATGGACAAAATCCCTCATGCTCAGTAAATTTATATTGTGGTTAGTTAGAAATTCAATTTATTGATTGGTAAGCTGTGGTATATGTATACTGTGGAATATTACTCAGCCATTAAAAAAATGGAGATTTTGCAGCATTTGTACTAACCTGGATGGAGGTGGAACACATTATTCTTAGTGAGGCATCACAGGAATGGAGAAGTATGAATCAGTTTTATTCTTATATTTTAATAATATGTCACAATACATAAGAATTTGAATCAGGCATAAGTACATTATACAACGGCATTTACGATATACTGACTTATGCACAACTCAAGTGCTGTATTTACAATGAGGTTCTCAGACTTGGCTGTATTTTAGAATCAACTGGGGAGCTTTTAAAAAATACCACTTCCCAAGCTCTGGTCAAAACATTTCAATTTATGGTTCGTGCCCACTGAGGGATGCCAAAAACAACAACAACCACCACAAAAATTTCAATTTAACTGACCTGAGGTGGGATCTGAGCATTAGTACTGGTTCCTGAAACTTCCCAGTGATTCTAATGTGCATCCTGGGAGAATACAATGCATTAAAGGATCCAGCTCTTCCAGAAATTAAGATTAGGGCAAACCTTAGATACCAGATAATAAACAACCTTTTCTTATGCTCAAATTTCCTCTAGAATCACCTGGTCATACCATTCAGACAGCATTCTAGTGACAACATCCTCATTACATCTCTCAAGGCAGACCAATCTCTACTGGCACCTTTGGTATTAAAAAAAAATCCTTTTCCTTATAACTTCCACCTATAGATCTTATATATTCTCATGGAGATTTAGAGGTATATAGAATAAGTCTAATCCTTCTCCTACATGCCAGTCTTTCAGAAACTTGAAGCAGCTCTTTTGTCCCTCAGGTCTTCTCTTTTGCAGTCTAGGCTAAACAATCCAATTTTCAACTGACCCTGTCTCCATATGGCACAGTTTAAAGTCCCTTCACCACTGTTCCTACCAACATGCAATTATCTGTCTCTATCATTCAAATTGTACACCCAGAATAAAACACAACACTCTTGGAGTGTTCTGACCAGCACAGAGGGGCACTGTAGACTCCCTTGTTCTAATACGATTTATGCAATACAGATTTACTTACTTTATTTAATATCTTTTCTAGAGGTACAATGATGATTGAGATTCTAGGCTAAGGATATGTAGGGACATAGGATAAAGAGAAGAGATTCTGAGTTGTTTGTTTTTGAAAAGAGAAGACAAAAATGTTTGCAGGAATAAAGAGAAAGGAGGATGTGGGGTGGGGCTGGGAGTCAATGGGACATGGTCCTCCTGACCATTGCAGTGACAGAAGGGCATGAATGAGATTAACAATAGTACAAGTGCAGGAAAGAGTCCCAAGTAGGGCAGAAAGCTATTGCTTCTCTTGTACAGGAATAGGAAGTTGAAGATTTAAGGCCCCAGGGCTTCAACTTCCTCCATGAAGTAGCAGGCCAGGTTAACTGCCAAAACAGGGCCAAGTAAAAGTACGATCGAGAGTTTAGGGCACAATTTAGTAGAACTCAGGCTCTGAAGCCAAACTGCTGGGGTTCCAATTCCAATCCCTGTGCTTCCTAATAACATGACTCTGGGTTTACAACTGTTTCCTGTAAAATGTGGAGAATAATAGTTCTTACCTCACAGGGTTACAGCGAGGAATCCCTGAGTCAATGTATATTATTAAAACAGATGCCTGGCACATAGTAAGCACTCAATAAACGTTACTGCTGCTGCCATGATCATCATTATTATGGAGGAGAGAGTGGATTAACAACAACTAAAATCTCCTATTTCTCCTCACTATGTTAATTTTCCATAAACGAGCTGAATGTTTCCTTAGCCACAATCCCTGAGTCACTCACTATTTTATGCCCCTCATGCTACTTTGCTTTACAGGCCCATTCTAAGTTGTCTTCAGAATGTAATCTAGAGCTATTTTGATCTGATTCTTTGGTCACAAATTCCTCCCTGACCACTCCTCCTTCTTCAATCTCCATTCAGTTCCCTCATGCCAAGTAAAATTGCTTTGCTTGCAGACAAAGTCCAGTGAAATAATGTCCCAGGATTCTCTGCCAGCCACAAACACATCTTTATTAACTGTTTTTCCCCAGAGCACACAGGTCTTATGTGATGCCTCTGAACTTTTTCAATGTTCTTACTTCTTGTCATTTTTTTGATTTTTTTTTTTTTTCAGTTTTAGCCGGGGCCGGGCTTGAACCCACCACCTCCAGTATATGGCGCCGTACTCCTTGAGCCACAGGTGCCACCCTTCTTGTGATTTTTTCCTTAAAACTGTCTAGGATTTTTAAAGAAAACTGTCCCGGTTGGTAATCTCAGCACACATACCATTCCTAATTTTAATTCTCTCTTTCTTAGATTAACACATTCAGGTTTTGTAGTTCTCCACTCTAGTTCATCTGCACTATTTGGGAGACTATGAAAGATACATGCATTAAATATTTATTTCTCAGCTTCACAGTCTTTCAGTTACATAAAGCAGAACTCTTACCTACACAAATCCAATGTACTGCTCTTATACTTAGCAGGTTCATACTTCTACATTTTTTTTTTTTTTTGAGACAGAGCCTCAAGCTGTTGCCCTGGGTAGAGTACCGTGGCATCACAGCTCACAGCAACCTCCAACTCCTGGGCTTAAGCGATTCTCCTGCCTCAGCCTCCCAAGTAGCTGGGTCTATAGGCGCCCCCCACAACACCTGGCTATTTTTTGGTTGTAATTATCACTGTTGTTTGACAGGCCTGGGCTGGATTGGAACCCGCCAGCTCTGGCGTATGTGGCTGGCGTCTTAGCCGCTTGAGCTACAGGCGCTAAGCCTACATATTTTTTTTTAGAGGGTGTTTTTCTCTATACTGTGAACAGTAAAGTCAAAATAGTTAAAAGGTACATTCTAAGTCTTTGCTTAAAGCAGTCTGTGAGAAGTTATAATCACAGTCAGGAAACCATACTCAATAACAAAAAGCCATTGGAATACTCCAGGATGTTAATAATTGTTGTCTTGATAGAACTGTGGGTGACATGCTTCCTTTTTTAAAATTAAAATAAAATAGTAATTTATGATTGGAATATATTTTTGAAAAAATACCTAATAACACACAACAAAATAGTAAGCACTTCAGAAGAAGGCTCTCTGGCTATTAAAAGTGCTATGTGAGAAGAGATATAAAGTTTTTTTAAGAAAACAATTTCTCGGCTCGGCACCTGTGGCTCAAGTGGCTAAGGCATCAGCCACATACACCTAAGGTGGTGGGTTCGAATCCAGCCTGGGCCCGCCAAACAACAATGACGGCTGCAAACAAAAAATAGCCAGGCCTTGTGGCAGGCGCCTGTGGTCCCAGCTACTTGAGAGGCAGAGGCAGGAGACTCGCTTGAGCCCAGGAGTTGGAGGTTCCTGTGAGCTGTGACACCACTGCACTCTACCCAGGGTGACAGCTTGAGGCTCTGTCTAAAAAAAAAAAAAAAAGAAAAAGAAAACAATTTCTCGAAAATTTGTACCCAAGTTAGAACAATTGCAAATGAGATGCAGCTGCTGCTGGAAAATTATTTCAGAGACTGGGGTGCCTTCTTGAGATCCCCCTAGAAGCCCCTGAGAGTATAAGAGGTGCTAAGAACGTGTGTGGGAATACGTTGGGTAGGATGAGGCAGTGGAGAAATGGATGTGGGGGTTTCCCTTTTCTCTAAAAGTGAAATAACTGCTTTAGATATGAGAGAATTTAATCCCTGAGAATTTTATGGTCTCAGCTTTGAAACAGTTTATGTTCTGTTTTGCTTCTATCACACGAAAGAGGATGAATGAGAGTTATCTGCTGTCTTTATACTTTGTAATTCCTAAGACCTGTAACAGGCTTGACTCTCTAAATCAAGGAGAGAAGCTGCCTATTGACTTGCCTTGGGCTAGCGTGTGCTGTTCAGCTGGAGAGTGTATTTTAATTTGGGGGACATTGTTCATAGTGACCTGAAATCAAAAAAATTTCTGACAAATGAGGATAACTAAAACCAATCAAATGCACATTTGTGAAAGAAATACTACCAGATGTGATGAGCTCTTAATGACTATCAGGCAAGACTACAAATGACCTTTCCCTTCAGCTGGCAAAGGTAATGTACTTGCCACAGAGGGAATAAAAGCCAGAGTGGTTTGTGAGATTATCTTCAGTGTGATTAAGGGAAAAGAGCAAAAGTTTGGGAGCTTTAATGCTATCCACTATTAAATAGCTCTATGACTTGCAGTCTATCCCCTTCCCTCATTTGCAGCTAAAGGGGGTTCTAGGAGGGGGAAGATCCTTTACAGCCTTAAGGCTTGATGATTTAGAGTTCTATATAGATAAGCAAAAGCTTGGCCCTTGGCAATGCTAATTTGATAAATTATCTGAGAAAAAAAATCAGTACAACTGGCCTGGTATGGAGGGGCTTGTGGGATGTCCTCTTCCTTTACTGTAGTTGTAGAGAAGGAAGTGCTGGGTCACTTTGGCTCAGGTGTGGGTTTCACACTGGCCAGACACAGAGGAATATATAGAGAAACTGCCTGTTCAATTCTTTTTTTTTTTTTTTTTTT